GATTTTCCTCTTGCTCTGACCTTTAGAGTTGGAGAAGATGCCTGAGAATACTGTGGACAGCCACGGAAACAAACTAATGGATCACAGAACAAATCAACCCAGAGTTCTCACTTGAGGCACAAAGGACCAGGTTCAACTTATCCTACTTCAGACACATGATGTGAAGACCCAGCTCCCTGGAGAAGGCTCTGATGCTGGGAAAGGTGGAAGGAAAGAGGAGAAGAGGAGGACCTGCAGCAAGGGCATAGATTCAGATACAGTGGCAAAGACCAGGTTAGGGATAGAGACAGTGACCATACATCCTTTATTATAAAGGACAGTCCTTTATTTCAGAAAGCTGCCCTTTAGATTAATTTAATTTAATTATTTATTTTCTTGGTTTTGCTCTTGAATTTTCCTCCATAAAGCCAAGTTTTAAACATAGACAATTTATTATTTTGTTTTAATCCTTATGAACCTCTTTCAGATTTGCCCCCTTTTCAGATTTGTCCTTTATTTTTTCCAAGAAAATATGGTCACTGTAGGGGTAGATCAACACGGAGAAAATCTATCTATGTGGTTGCTAATAGTTGAAAAATACTTGATGGCATGTAATCAATCCAAAACTCCAGATATCACTCCTAAGGTGCTGAAGTCAAAAGCTGGCTACATAGGGCAAACCAATAGGTTTATAAAATGGAAGGCAGGTGTGCTATCACGATTTCCTAAAGGAACCTCCACATCCAGGTGCAGACTACCATAAAATTTCCGATGCAAAGAATGCATACTTTCCCGGAATGCCTCTTCCCATTCCACCCTGGAATGCCTCTTCCCAGTCCACCTCTAGTAGCGTTTCTCTCCAGCTGCCTCTGCCTGCCTCTTTTATAGCATCTCTTGGAATTTCTTGTTCTCCCCCAGCCTCTCTTTCAAAGCCAGCCCTTTATCCCCCCTTTTCAGCAACTCACTTCTCCCTGCAATGAAATGCCTCCACTCTCTAAGCCAGAGGAGACTCTTCCACAGACGCGGATTGTTGCCAAAGCTAAGAAGATACAGTATTCAAAAGTGAGATTCCCACCAGGAAGAGGTGGGGAAAAGGGCACCGGAAGTGGCTTCACCCGCTCTTCTGCACGGCACTTCCGGTAGCTTTCTGCAAGCGGAGACCGAGGATTCTTTCTCCACTCTAGGAGAGTTCAACTCAATGAATTTAACCCGTTCGGGGCATCTCTGAGATAATACTGTAGTCGGTCCATTTATCCCCTACTTTACGTCTCTCAGATGAGTTGGACTACAACTGTCAGCCATGTGGCTGAGGATGATGGAGATGAGTCGCTGGGAGAGTGGGCGGCCCTATACATTTAATAAATAAAACCTTGTCACCTGGCATCTTTAGATGGGAGGGTGCTGGGTTGCAGAAGGCTAGCCCAAGGTGTGTTAAAAGCTGCTTCAGATCAAGGTCATCTCCATAACACAGGCATCCAATTAGCCTTCTTGGCTGCCTAATGGACATGACGCGCCACTGTTTTTCTCTGGTGTGTTTTTCATCTTCCCAGTCTAGTCTACAACCTTGAGATTTCTTAGTGATCTCCCATCCCAGTGCAATTAATTCCCCAAGACGGGTGTAACAGCGTGTTGGAAAGTACTGTGGATATTTTCTCATCTACTTTGCACCCCGCACACTCCTAACCAATCCCTGTATTCAGATCAGAGCAACCACATATGCTTCTCAATTCATCAAGCATTAAAAAAAAAAAGTGTTAACTGACAAAGGGGGATAAAAGGCAGGCAAAAGCAGGGAGAGGGAGAGAAATATAAACAAAAGGCAATAATTCACATTTCTATCTATTCAGAGTTTGCAAACGTCAAGATGGGGGCTGCAATTATGCAGTTGAAGCCCAGCACCTTTTCATGCGCATGACGCATAATGGCCTACTTCAAGGACAGACTTCAAGACCATACTGACGTTTTAAAACTCCTCAAGACTTGTGAGGATAGAGGGGAAGTCCATGCATCTTAAAGTTGCTGAGGTTGAGAAACACTGTACTAGAGAGTATTGGAATAATTTGTCCTTTAGATGTCTCCGTCTGTCACTCTTCGTTAGCACAAGAGTTGTCTCTCTTGTCTTGTGTGCCATTGTGAATTTTAGGTCCTTTGCTAATTATTTCCAGCCCCTGAAGATTTACCCATTCTATCTGCCAAGACACTTCTCCATGAGGCTTCATCCTCATAGGCAGTTTAAAAAAGAAAGCAAATTGTTATCTCAGTAGAGATGCTTCAGTTATGGACTGCCTTCCATAAAGGTCAAAAAAAAAAAGTCCTAACTTACCCGGGCATTTTAATTTCTTATAGTTGCTTAAAAAAAAAAGATTTTTTCAGCATTTCTTTGTGCCATTGTTGTATTTGTAATGTACAGCTGTGCATTGCCCAGAAATTCTAGAGTAGCGTATAAATGGCTTGAATAAATAAATTATCCACTCAGTAGTATTCAAATAATGTTGGAAAAGATGTTTCATAGATTAGTTGAGGGCTGGCCCATGAAAGCTTTAAGTAAAGACAAGCATTGGGTCTTCTCTTTGCTAGAATGCGGCATAAAATTAAAAAGAGTGCAATCTTCTCAAATGCAGAGTTTGCAGAATTTATTCTGGCATTGTAAGACCCCCTCTAATTTTATTTTTTATTATTTTTTCGTATCCTGCCTTTTATTCAGGCAATATACATTAGTCCTTCTGGCTAGAGTCATTTCTAAAACGGGCAGTCATATAAAGTGAGTATTTCTCCACGACAACCTCGTGAAGTAGCTTGGGTTAAGACAAACCCAAAGTCCTCCAGGGAGTTTCCATAGCTAAAAGGGACTAGATCCTGGGTTTTAGCCCTTTGAGGTAGTCCAGACAAGAAGCACAACTATGAATACTAACTGTCTTTATTGTAAGGTTACATTCACAAAGTCTTGCAAGTCTGAAAGTCTTTCTCCCCTCCTTTCCTTTTACTCTCGGAAAACTAGGGAGGGTCCCTTCTGAGATGCTTCCCACGCCATCCCTCCTTCTCTAGACTGAGATGTCTTTTACACACCGGTTGTCCAATCTGCAACTCTCCCTTCTGTCTCCTAGGGTCATTCCCACAGACCATTATACTGGGTCTCCTAGTCCAACACCATTGCACCACGCTGCCTCTCTCTGTTTCCAGATTCTAAGATTGCATACTGTCCAGACTTTCAAGTATCTGTCCTACCTTAAGGGTAGGAACTTGATCTGGAAAAAAGAAAGCTAAGAATCTCAAGAGGTCCATGCTGGTGGTTTTCTGCTCCTGTGGCCTTGAAGTGAACATCTTACCCTTGACGGTAATTTGTCCTTTTATCTTTGCCTATAACATTTAATTACCAAAGTGTCACTTCCCCTCTATGGCTAGTTTACTTTGCAAAGGCTCTGGGGAACAGTTTTATAAATACAAATACAAATTAAAAAAAAAAAAAAAGCAGGGGCAGCAGGCAGAGCTCAAAGGTCAAGGTGAGAGGGTTAGATTTCTTTGACAATGGAGAAGGTTTGGGGAAAAGCTGAGCCTACACGAAATGTTCCCCTTGAACCAACAGAGAACCAGGCATATTCTTAAAAGAAGGTGACAGAGCAGTTCTAATGCCGGTTCTAGAGGAAAGCCTACAAGTGCTAGAAAGGAGCCATCTGAAAGTATTTATAAAAAAATCAAAGGGGAAATTGCTAACATCCAACCCACAGGAAAGCCAGCAGGAATTTTGCAAAGTGAAATTGGGCCTCCCCAACCTTTTAGAGTTCTTTGAATACATCGGGAAACAGACAGAGAACTGTAGCAAAATCTGTCACTTTCTTTGGCCCTTTGAAGCCACTAGGAGGACACGTTCTTGCCTCCTGCTGCTCCTGACCCAGGAGGAAGCCTTCAGCCAGGGCCACTGCCTGGGAGTTGCTCTCTGCTCCGCACTCCCGCACCCAGCTGGACATCTCCACTGGCAGGATGGCCAGCATCTGGCTCTTGGTGTGCCGCTCAGGCTGCAGCCACTGGCGAGAGAAGTGGTAGAGGCAGCTGCAAACTCCTCAGGAACCTTCCACCTCCTGGTAGCAGAAGTCCCTGAAATGCTGGCGAGGAGCCTCTAAATTCACCAAGTCCTCCTCCAGGATCTTCTGCCCTGCTCTGTCCCAAAATCGCCCACTACTCTCTATCCTGATGACCTCAGGGCCATTTTCTGCTTCAGAGCCAGCCGAGTCTTGTGGCTCCATCTTTGATCTGGATGTAAAACAAGAGCGTAGAGAAAAAACCTTAATTTCACATTCTCACGATAGCTTCCCATAATGTACAGGGTTTGAGATTGTGTGATGCATCCTTTGTGGCTGACCCTAGCCTTAACCAAGGGCTTGTTCTGAATTCTTGAGCAATGTAAATCAGTCCCCCATTCTCCAAAAACTAATTCCCAAAACAAACCAAAAGAAGGGAGGGGGAGCCGTTTCCAGTTAAAGAATGAGTTGTATGCATCAGTCAAGAAAGAAGACTGAACTAAGTAATTCAATGTTGCTATTCTTTTTAATGTTATTCCACCTCCCATGCTAAGATAAAACAGATTTTAACACAAGGAATAGAGGGAGCCAGGTGGTTGTTCTCCTGGAAAGTCCCAAGATCTAAATCTGTTCTGGGGTGAAATGGGACTGTTTCAAGCATGCATCTCTTCTAGCTTCCTCACCTTTCTGCCCCATTCCTTACAATATTTTGACTTAGGTAGTCCTTGGTATCCGACAATTGGGACCAAAATTTAGGTTACTGAGTGATTTGGTCATTAAGTGAATTGACACATGACTGGACCTGATTTTATGACCATTTTTTACAGCGGTTGTTAAGCGAACCACCGTGTCGTTAAGTGAATCGCAATCGGGGCTTTCAGTTTTCCTTCCATCGTTAAGTGAATGTTGCAGCTGTTAAGTGAAACGAAAGGTACTGTACAGCACTGTGGGGGAGGAGTATGATAGTCGTGTTTTCCCCCACTTTAAATTAATACTGTACCTTAATAAAAATCAGACTTCTATACAGTAAGAAAAGCTGCAGAGTTTACTACAGCAGGAGAAAAAAATGTTAACAGCTGTACCTTTAAACTTATACTGTAGAACAGGGATTCCAATGAAGACCTGAAAAGTATTTAATAATCAACCACTAATTTTAATTGAAAACAATGCTACTGTAGCCACAGAAGCATTTCCAATTTAGCCTGGTTCTTTAAGGAGAATATTAGAAGTGTGCTGTACTGTAATGTGCAATAAACTGTAATGAAATAAGAGGGAAAACTCAGAAAGGCATCTGAAATTACTGTACAGTAATGTAATGTAAAATGTAAGATAGGAGACAAATGATCTGTACATATGCCTGTATTTACTGTACAGTGTGTACAGTACTGTATTTTAGAGTGAAGCATCCTACATTTTAGGTCTTTGTGTGGTGTGCCAGGGCAGTTTCCAAAAGCTGGTGGGGGCCAGAACCAAGAAACAGACATGGCCAGATAAAAAACTAAATTTGATTCAATACTGTACAGTATAGTGTTATTAAATCTAATTCCTATTTGCATATTTAATTTTACAGCTTTGACACATTAACACAATTCAACAGCAGGTTGAGGGGGAAGACTGCATATTGTCCAAGGGCTCAGGCTGTGAACCTCTGCCCTATAGCCAGAGGCACTCCGGAAAATTATTTGCACATACGAAACAGTACTGTACAAGCTCAGATTTCGATGGCCATGCTCTTGATGATTCAGCACGAAGGCATTTAATTTAAAATGGGGCACTGTATTGGCTTGCTTTCCATTTGGTGCACTGTAGTGGCTGAAAGTAGCAGGCTAGAAACCAGGAGATCATGAGTTTGAGTCCTACCTTAGGCACACAGCCACCTAGGTGACCTTGGGCCAGTCACACTCAATCAGCACTGACAAAGCACTCCTCAAAAGTGTAGCCAAGGCAATTAAATGAACTTGTCCAGGAACTGTAGTCACCAGGAGTCAAGATTGGCTTGAAGTTGTTTTTTTTTTTAAAAGCTTGCATTATCCTTTGAAGCCAC